GTTAGCGGCCATCCAGGTCTTTATGTCTTTAAGACATTCCTGCAGTTTAACTAATTGGTGTGTGTTATCTGGCTTCATGAATGGATAGACCTCGGTGTCATCTGCATAGCAGTGAAAATGTATGCTATGTCTTCTAATGATACTGCCTAAGGGAAGCATGTATAATGTAAACAGAATTGGTCCTAGCACTGAACCCTGTGGAACTCCATAATTGACCTTAGTGTGTGAAGAGAACTCTCCATTTACATGTACAAATTGGAGTCTATTAGATAGATATGATACAAACCACTGCAGCGCAGTACCTGTAATACCTACAGCATGTTCTAATAGCTCTAATAGGATATTACGGTCAACAGTATCGAACGCTGCACTAAGGTCTAGCAGGACAAGCACGGAGATGAGTCCACTGTCAGAGGCCATAAGAAGATTATTTGTAACCTTCACTAAAGCTGTTTCTGTGCTGTGATGATCACGTCTCCCCTGTAAAAGATGTGCTGGGACCTGAGGTGGGGTGGTGTGTGTGGTACAAGCGGGGAAGCAGGAAAGTTGCCCATTAAAAAAAACACTGAACAAATAAAAAACGTGTGAAATTGCAAAAGCTGTTGGTGTCAGGTCTATCATTTCCACAGAAACATTTTTTAAAACCAAATACTGTCAGTTGTCCTTCTGATCCGGTGCTACAGTGACCCCGGGGCACTTCCAGTAATCTCTCCATGTCATGGAACGGCTGTGTGCAGACAGGAATAGGACCCAAGGTGCAGACACTCGGAGGCAAAACTTAAACTCAAATATAACATAACTGGAAATATCAAAATAAACTTACACCGGAAGACTGACAGAACACACAGCTAGATAAACGGTAGATCACAACACAGACACAGAGAAACACAGGGCTTAAATACACAGAGGGAGCAATCAGGGAATGGGTAACAGGAGGGAAACACAGCTGGGGCAAATCAGGCCTAACGAGACAAGGGGAAGCGAAACCAGATACATTAACATCAGACAAGGACCTTCAAAATAAAACAGGAAACATGACACAGACTGAACTAAAGACACAGACTAACACGCGCGCACTGCAACAGAGGGAACAGAGACGTGGGACCAGGGCAGACACAGACACAGACTGGACACGGGGATATAGCAAACAGGGGAGACAGCAACTAAGGATTACACAGAGACAAACCATAAGACATAACTCTAACGAAGAAACCAAAGAATAGAAAAGATAAATAATATAATAAACTCAAAACCCTGGGTCAATGACCCAGGCATCCTAACACTCCAATGTCTCCTGAGCCTACCCCAGGGCCTCTTCTCAGTAGGACATGGCCAGAACATCTCACATTGCCATGCTTTGGGGAAAGCTCATTTCCACTGCTTGTTTACACAGCGTTGTTCTTTCAGTCATTACCCAGAGCTCATGACCATACGTGAGGGTAGGAATGTCAACTGGCAGCTTCCCTTTTATGCTCAGGTCTCTCTTTACCACACTGGACCAGTACAGAGCCCATATTCCTGCAGAGACCGCACCAATTCATCTTTCAATCTCCCCTCTCCCTT